CGTCAGGGGCCCACGGAAAGCGTTGTGAAAACACAGGAGGAAGGAAGAATGGAAAGCAGAGAGGAAAGCATGGCCCTCGGGCTGCGTGTGGGAGGGGTGGCAGTCAGGGACATTACAGAGGACACCCGATCTGGAAGGAGACACAGGAAACTGGTGGTGACGGGCGCCCCTGGGGAGGGCACAGGAGAGGCAGACGGAGGGACCCCTTTGCACCGGACATCTTTTCTTATCGTCTGAAATGTGCACCATCTGCATGTATTACCTAGTCCAAAAATTAATTAAATCAAATGAGGGCGGGACTATCTCCCTTAATAAGGTGAGACAGAGCCAGAGATAAAAAGGTCTCGAAAGGCAAAGGTGCAAATGATTTCAGATGTTTTGCTGGCAGCCTGCTCGCTCTCACCCACCCTGCTCCCCCCTCTCCCGCCCCAGCCCCCAACACGAAAAACGTTTCTCTTGTGAACTTTCTGGGTGCCTCGTGCTCAGAACACGAGCAATACTTTTTCAGGTCCCCATCGAAGACCCTGAACGCCCGGACTCTGGACACCTCGTGGAAATGCCTTCCTGTATCACTGGAAAAGCCCCACGGAGGGAAATGCAAGTTCTCCTGATGTGACAGCATCCGTCCGCGCCGGCCGCGTGAGGGCCAGTGCTGCTGCGGCTGCACCCAGGCGCCACTGTGGGAGCTCGAGGTGCTCCGCCATCGTGACAAAGACAGGAGAAGGAAATGCTCCCTCCAGGGCTCCCGCGGGGCCGTCAGAGAGATCCCACATCCTACCCTGCGCTTGGACGCTAGCAGGCGGGGGCGGGGGTGGGGGGCACGGGCCTTGCAGGAGATTCACCTTGTCCTCGCAACCTTGGGCAAGTCACACCATCGCTTGGACCCTCTGCCTCCTCACCTGTGACACACGCACGTCACCCCTCACCTTGCAAGTTGCAAGGACCACGATGCTTTATGGAAAAATATCCAAAGCCATGCCATTACCCCTAAAAAGAACCCAGCACCTCTTGCCGGTTTTTGCCTTAAAAACGGCACAGGATCTTGAAGTGAGAAGGTGCTACGCATTGAGCTGTGTCCCCTGAAAAGATATGTTGAAGCCCTAAGCCCCAGAACCCGTGACTGTGACCTTATTTGGAAATAGCGTCTTTGCTGCTGTGATGAGTTAAATTAAGATAAAGTCATGATGGAATATGACCAATTTGATGGTGTCCTTGTAAGAGAAGAAACAGAAACATACATGTGTGCGCGCGTGCAGAGAGAACGCCGCAAGTCAAGGCACCCCAATGATCACGGGAACCCACAAGAGGCTGGGAGGGAGGCACATCCCGATCATCCCTCTGCACCCCCAAGAAGGAAGCAACCTTGTCAGTGCCTTGATTTTGGACTCCTGATCTGTAGAACTGCGGGAGAAGAAATGTACGCTGTCTTCAGCCAGCAAGTTGCTGGTCCTTTGTTACAGCAGCCTCAGGGCACTGGTGCAAGTGATCTGGGGTTCCGAGCAAGCTAATGCTTGGATTTCCTTGCCCAGTGGCTGGCGAGTCAGCCTCTGTCTGTCTGTAGCACGGGAACACTAACTTGGTACCTACCAGGGCAGTGCCCTCCCATCTCTGAAAAGGTTTGTCGTAAAAATCATTCATTCACCGAAAATTCACTGAACACCTAGTATATGCCAGGCGCTATTTGGAGCACTGTTGATACCGGGGTGAATGGGCAGCACACAATAAAAGCGTTCTCAAAGAAGGTCATTTGTGATACTGTTATGAAAAAGAATAAAACCCTGTAAAGTAATAGAGTGGGTGGGCTGGGGACCAGGCAGAAGCTATTTTAATCGTTAGGGAAGTCCTGAGGAAATGACATTAGAGCAGTGACTTGCGTGACAGGGAGCCAGCCATGGGGAAATGTGGCAGAAGGAACAGCAAGTGTAAAGGCCCTGAGGCACAGTGAACTGGTTGTGTTCAAGGCACAGGAAGAAGGCGGGACTTTCGTGAGTGGTAGTGAGGAGGCTGGAGAAACAAGCAAGGTCAGCTAGCACTCATATAACCTCCCCCGCCCCCCAGCAGACCACAGTGAGAAGTGTGAATTCAATCCTCAGAGCACTGGGAAGCTACCGGGGAGGGGTATGATTCAATTCTGGCATGACAAAGTCCTTAAATCTAAAGTCTGTCTAACTTCAGACAAAGAGCTTGTGTGCTACTATAAAATAGGTTTAATACATCAACCACAGCCCGAAACCTTCTGGGATCATGGCTCACCAGATTCTCAGGCTTACCAGCCCTAATTCCTTCACCACTGTAGCCGTTTCCAGTGAATCTTCCTGATTTTTTTCCCTGGGCCCTTTAGTAAATGTGATGTCCGGAATAGTAGATCGGATCTATCTCTAGTCTCACTCAGATCTACACGTCTGTGGTTGTGCCCCTTTCATTGTCGTAGCTTCTAACTCTGTTTTGTACCACTGCCTGCCGAAACAATCTCAGACAACCTCCCCCCCAAGCCCTCTTCCAGATCCCGATGCCCAGATCTAGAGAGTGGGATTAAACCTTACGGTTTTCTAACGAGAACAGCTGTGCCCTGTTAAAAAAAAAAAAAAAAAAGGCGCCATGACCCAGACAATGTGACAGGTAAAATACCGCATCGAATAAACAAAACGACTGGGTTGGCTCCTGGGGTTTCACAACCACTGTCTTGCTCTTCCGGGCGGAGGGCTAGGAAAACTCTAAGGGCGAGTCTCCCTCGAATCGCCACCCTCCCTTGCCTCACCAGGCTGAAGACACCTAGGCTATTTGGAAACACAAAGCAATTGAGCAAGAGGCCCCTTGTGATCACACTTCCTATTAGATTTCTCTAAGGCGGATAAACAAATCTGAGTAGACGGGGACTCTCAGCATTGGGCGTGGATGCGGCCAAGGGCACAGCAGGCGAAGGCGACTCCGTACCTGGGAAAGGCGGTGGGAGAGGCGGGTCTGTAATCCATCCTTCCCACGGCCCATTCCACAGGCGCACGACAGGCCACCGCGTCTGGTGTCAGATGGCTCGGTTGAACATTTCACTTTGCCCCCTAGAACCTAAGTGACTTTGGGGGAGTGTCACTGGCCTCAATCTTCTCATCTGTGACATGGGAATGAAACGCCACCTATCACTCCAAGTTTATTGTGAAGATCACCTGAGATTTTGTGCGAGAGCCCTTTGTAAAGTGCCACCATGTCCAAGTGAGCGGTTATTATTGGCAAAAGGGTTTTACTCCTTCCTTTGCATATTTTTCCTGCTGCTGGTTGAACTTACATGACTTTTTTTTTTTTAAACTCTCCAGGCTGCTTTTGATGTTTCTTTTAACCTGATTATTTTCTTTTTTGAGGAAGGAAGCAAAGAGAGAGAGAGAGAGGCGCATGTAGAAGGACTCATTCCATCCTAAACCTCTCCTTGGGTTTGTTCTAAAAGGTGTCCTCTCTTGGGGTCCCCATAAAGCAATGTGCCTCTGAAGAACCAAAGTTAATTACCATGTAAAGAGAATCACTCTTCTCCACTTTCTGGAACTTGCTACTTTCTGGAATCCTGTAGCAAATTATTTAAGGTTTGTGATTTATTCATGTTACTGAGTGGTAGCTTTTCACTGCCCTTAGTTGTGACCTTTTCAACTAATACAAACTATCTTCACATTAGCTGACGTATGCCATACAAAAGACAAACACTGCAAAAAAACAAAGACAAAACAAATCAAAAACAAAAACCCCGCATGGGAACGCATCCCAGAACCATACGAGAAGCTAGAGATAATCTGCTAATCACTAAAGTCTCCTGTGTGAGTCCTCAACCGTCTTCAGCTCTTATGGAAAAAGAAATACCATGAGTCAACTTTTTCACTGTGAATTGATCTCAAAAGCCTTTCGCCCCATGTTCAAGTGCGTAAGCAGTCCTATTTCTGAACCAAATGGAAATAAAAACAAGTGACAGTAAGGGAGAGACTCTGAACAAAGGGAAAACATAAACTTCGAATCCAAAAGGTGTAGAAGACCAGGAGCGCTCATGCGTAACCGATCAACATCTTTTTTTCTTTGCTTAATTCGTTGGTCTGTATCTCGGCTCCCCCGGCTTAGGTTTCCGGAGGGGGTGCCTCTCACCAAATGGGTCTGACACGTTAGCACTAGGTGACAGTGGCCTGGGAGGCTGCCTGGTCCCTGACAGCTGTCCGCGGGCCTCTCTACTCCTGACTCTGCCACCTCAGGGCGCCTCACCTGTGCCAGCGCAGAGGGGAGTCCTTGCTCAGTCCGCAGGTCGGCACCCGTGCCCCACAACGACCCACAGGGTTACAGCAACTGCCGGCCGCTGCCCCCTGCGAAGTCCTTCTCCCGAATCCAATCCAGGAGCCACGTCGCGAGGCACAAACCCCGGGACAGGCGGGAAAACGCAGCGGCCCCGGAAGACCACACGCCGCCCTTTCCAGTCCCCTGGCACCGGTGCAGGCCACCCCGAACCCGTCCAGCTGCTGGACCGGAGCTCCTGACACTGCGCCTGTGCGGTGCGCCCTCTGCAAGCCCCTCTGCTTCCCGCCCCGTCCGGGGAGGGGGAGCCCTGCGAAGGCACGCGCGGAGTTGCGGGGCGGCACCCGGCGCGGAGCCCCAGACCCTGCCCACCCCCCCCACCCCCCCGGGAGCAGAGAGGCAGCAAACTTAAACACTGAACGCACAGCACGACGCGGCGAATTTCCTTCCCATCCAGGTTCCGGGCACCCCCTCGCCAGCAGGCCCTTCCAGGAGTCTGGGGGTGCCTCCTCCCCCAGGACCCAGGAGCCGACTCCACCCCAAGGCCACCTGGCGACACCATCCGCCACCGGGGGGTGGGGACCCCACGTCCACCCTCCCCCAGGGGCCGCACTGCCTCCCGCGCTGCGCGCTCCCGGCTCCCCTTCCACCGTCTCGCCCCCCGCACGCGCGCCCCCCGCAGAAGCCCCCCGACCCCCGACCCCGCGTCTCCTGCCGCCCCCTCCTCCTCCCAGGCCCCTCACCCGCCGGCCCTCGGAGAGCCCCGCGCCGCCCGGACCACTGTCGCGTCCTCCCCGACGCAGGCGCTGGCGGGAGCCTCTCTCACCGCGGCGGGCGCCGGCCGACCGGTCGGACCGGGGAGCGGGCGGGCGCCTCCGGGCTCCGCGCTGCGGCCACTGCGCCGGCCTGGGAGCCGGGTCCTTCCGAGGCGACAGCCGCGGGAGCTGTCAGTCAGCCCGCCGTGCCCGCCCCCTCCCGGCGCCGTCTGCGCAGGCGCGAGAGCGGCCCCGCCCCCGCCCCGCGCGGGCGGCTGGAGCGCGGGTCACGTGACGGGGGCGGGGCGGCTGCTGGCGGCTGTGGCTGCGGTGGCCGCCCGCACCCCGAGCGGTTAGCGTCCCTGCTCCGGCGGCCCCGGGTCTCTCGGGGCCGCGACTGTCCCTGGCCGGGAGGCCTGGTCCCGCCGCCCCCGGAAGCCTCCTGCGGATCCCGTTGCATGGATCTGGTCAAAACTAGGGTTCCCCCGGGGGACCGGCCGTTCTGCGAGCGCAGGAGGGGGTGGGGGGTTGGGTGATATGGGTCGGGGGACCCGGGGAGGCCTGGCAGCGAGCTGGGGAATAAGGGCCGGTTCTCGTTGCTTCCGGGCCCGGATTGTCTCCACCTTTAGGACAAGGATGCCACTTGCCATTTCCTGCCCGCCTATTCCAGACTTAGGGTGAAGTCCTGCCGTTAAAGAACACTTTGCAAACAAGTCAAGCGAGGGTGCGAGGTGTACGGAAGGGCAATCAGAAGCCTGACTTAGGTTTTGAGAGGGGTCAGTTTAAAAGCTGATAGATCCCAAGTCACTTGCACCAAACGTCCTAGGCGACTCTGCAGCTTTTCAGCAAATGCAGACAACAACTTTCAGGCCATTTGGTTTCTGTTTCTTCTACGCCTCTAAAATTAAAAAAAAAAAAAAAGAAAAGAAAAAGGTAAACAAAAATAGGAGTGTCTTCTGCGGAAGCGTTTTGAGTTCTGGAGGAGGAAGTACAGAAACAAACTGACACCCACTCCCAGTAGTACTGGGGTACCAGCAAAACAGAGGATGTTTCCAGAGAGGACTCACTTTCTCCACGTTTCCACAGCTACACCGCGGAGCTCTGGTGCCCCTTCTGGTCGTTGCTTGTATGAAATAAAGCCCAGTCTAGGGGCACCTGGGTGGCTCAGCCAGTTAAGCAGCCGACTTTTGATTTCCGAGCAGGTCTGGATCTCATAGTTGAGGAGTTCCAGCGCTGACAGTGTGGAGCCTGCTTGGGATTCTCTCTCTCTCTCTCTCTCTCTCTCTCTGCCCCTCCCTCTCTCTTTCTCAAAATAAGCATTTAAAAAAAAGAGAAAGAAAGCCCTGTCTAAATAAATGCATGCAGTGGTATCTCAAATGGGGCTGAACGTCAATTTATAGAAAGCTGTGGGTTCTCTGAAATCCTAGGGATTCCACGGGAGAATCTGAGTTCTGCTGCGTAGGAAAAAAAGGTGACATGGATTGATGACCGAACACCTTGCCTGTGCCCCAGCGGGTCCCTGTGAGATGACCTACGGAACTTAAGACTTGTTTGGCAAAGTTTAAGAAAACGACACGAAGGAAAAAGTCGGGAGCTGCATTTCCATGAGGTTTAGGGGGCCACCAGTGCCTTTGCTGCTTGTGGTCCATCCCAGGTTCGCCTGACCAGCTCAGTGCGGCCATCACATCTGAGAAGCTGGATCCCTGGGTATTTCGAGTTTGGGGTGAACTCAGGAAGGGAAGGGGTGTGAACCTGGAAAATGTGAGCTCCCTCAGGGTCAGATTCCACTTGGGGAAAACATGCTTTCTCCTCAAGAGATTCACATGAAGCCTGTCGCTCCGTGCCTCATAAAAGGTATTCTGATCTCGCCAGAAGGATGGAGAGAGGCACCTAGGTCCGTACGTGGCCATTCAACAAAGGTGGAGAGAAAGTAAGTTCTGCAAACTACAGGCCACTGAACTAGATAGTGGGTGTGGGAAATATTCGGGACAGATTACTAACAGTAACAAACATTTGTGACCTCTCTGAAGAGGAAGCACCAGTGACAAACACCAAGTCGTGGGGGGTTAACCATCCTCCTGCTGTGAAATGCACAAACTGCCGAATCGGGAAATAGGATAGAAATCGTGTATTTGAACCTGGAGGGTGTATTTACCAGGATTCTTTCTGTTATAAGTGACAGAACTCCATTCAAACTGTTGTTTGTTTTTTAAAGGGACTGTATCAGCTCACATAACCCACCTAAATTCTGGAGTTGGCCCAGCAAGATCCAGGGATGCCGATGACGTCATCAGAACTCGGTGCCTCTCCCCCTACTTGACCGCCTCCATCTGAGCTGGCTTCATTCTCGGGTTAGGTGCTTTTTTTATAAAGTGGTCTCCAGTAACAACAGGTATATGCTCTTTCAGCTTAGCAGCCCCGGGGGGGAGAGGACTCTGTCCTTCAGTGTTTCCAGCAAAAGACCTAGGATTTGATCTAAATGGTCCAACAACGGCTTGTATGCTCATCCCCGTGAACCAACCTCTGAGGCCAGGACGTTGGGATAACTGGATTGGCCATACTTGGACAGGAAGGGAGGATCAGCTCCACCCAGCTACTTGGGGGAAGAGCATGGGGAGGGTGGGTCCCCACAGGAAAACGCGACAGGAGACGGATTCTGGGCAGGTGGCGGAATGCCAACGGCTACCCAGGACAAAGCCTTGGCTGAGATATCTCGTGATGAACTGCAGAAAGGACATGAAGAAAAGGCGGGAGAATTAATGATTTATTGGATGGCTGAATCAATACTCAAAAACACTTTTGAGCAGAGGATGCTTCCGAAAAACGATGATGCACAGAAGCCAGAGGTGATGTGACTTGATATCACTTCTGTTTCTGGATGCCCATCATGTCCACTTCTACCTCCCGATGTAACCTCTTACCAGGAATGCCGTGGCTTTAAAACAACACAGACGTAGTATCTTACAGCTCTGGAGGTCAAACCTTAAAATCGAGGTATCAGCAGGGCTTCACTCCTTCTGGAGGCCCTGGGGGGGGATGGCCCTCTCGCCTTTTACAGCTTCGGGGGCCTCCTGCTTCCCTTGGCTGGGGGCACCTTCCTCCGTCTTCAAAGGCAGTCTCCTTTAAGCGGGACTCGGTCTCGGCCCTTCTCTGTCCTGCTGTGTGTATAGAGCGCAGGCCTGTGGTTTCATGGGACGCCTCTCAGTTTAGGTTTCTCTGACTGTCCCTGCACTGCCAGGGACCAGTGTGCCAGGGCGTCGTATCGGGAGGCGCCAACCCCAGTTTGTCTTATTATTGCTGCAGCTGCCTGACTGATGGTTGAGATGGTGACAGGTTTCTCTACCGTGAAGGCCCTTTCCCCCCTTTGTAAATAATCAGTAATCTGTGGGAAAGACACTTTTAGACTATTTAGATATCCTGTTTTTCTAATGGACCTTCACCCAGTGGTTTAGCCCCCACTAATGACAATGCTGCGCTGACCGCCAAGTGTCAAGGGGTCTGATTCCACGGCTCCATTGACATTTACCAGTTGACATTTTCTTGCATCTGTCCTTGCCCTTCTGCAGTCTGTTCTCCGCGGGGCAGCTGGAGTGACCTTTAAAAACCACAAATGGGGGGCACCGGGGTGGCTCAGTCGGCTAAGCATCCGACTTTGCCTCAGGTCATGATCTCACATTCGTGAGTGCGAGCCCCGTGTCGGGCTCTGTGCTGACAGCTCAGAGCCTGGAGCTGCTTCCGATTCTGTGTCTCCTTTCTCAGCCCCACCCCACTCATACACTGTCTCTCTCTCTCAAAAATAAATAAACATTTTAAAAAATTGATAAAAAAATAAAAACCACAAGTGGGACCATCTCCTCCAGTGGCTTCCTACTGCCCCTCAGATGCGTCCAGAATCTTCTGGTTGTCAGCACGGCCTGGCCCTTCCAAGCCCTCCACCCCCACTGCATCCCCACACACTGGCCCCTTGCAGAACTTCCAATGATCGACGCCACCCTCTACTCTGGGACCTCCCCACCTACCCCTTTGCCTGGAACCCTCTCCCTCCATCCTCTGCTTCCCTTTGCTTATCAAATACCCAAGTGCCCTTCACATACGCGGCCGAAAGGAAGCCACGTGACCCCCTGGGGCACGGCCAGATTCCCAGGTGCCCCTTTCACACATAATGCCCGTTTCCTGCTTGTAATTTATTTGCTCACTTGATCTATGCGCTCCCCAGGCAGACAGAAGGAGGTCTCCAAGCTCGCTTGCTGTGCCATTTCTGCTGGGCAGTCACTTAACTCTGAGGCTCAGTTTCCCCAGCTGTGCAAAGGAATCCCTCCAGCTTCGCAGGGCCGCAAGGATGAGTGAGTCTGTGGCTGTGCCAGCAGCAGGTAAGACAGGTCCGTGACTGATTCCCCCTCCTAGCTGTGTGACCTCCAGTGTACTGCTTACCCTCGCTGAGCCTGCTCGTTCGGCTGCGAAAGGGGCCACCCACAGTGTGTTTGCTCATTCATTCAATGTGTATTTCCCGGCTGATGGGAGCTGGGGAGGCAGAAGTGGGCCAGAGAACAGAACCCCCCGCCTTCCGTGAGATAAACAAGCCAGGAAGTGGAGGATAAATGGCGTGAGCAGAGATGCGACACGGAGCAAAGCAGGGGGGGCTCCAGGGAGGAAGACGCCACAGGATGAAGTCCCAAAGGGCATGAGAGCTATCGAGGTGACACAGAGCGCCCAGCCCAGAGCGTGGCACTAAGTGCCCCGAACCCGTCCAGTAGCCATACGTCCCCCCACCACGCAGGGGCCTGGTGACCCACCCAGCAGGCTCCCCCCACAGCTGGGGTCGAGGTGGCCCACGCAGGGGAATTCAGGACACACCGCACCACCTTGGGCTCTTTAGACTCCGTGGGCCTCGTCCGATACCACGGGTTGTGGACTGTCAGCTTTCTAGCCTCCCAAATTCTGGCTGTTGCATTCAGTGCCACAGAGTCCGTGGAAAAAGACAAGGAACAAACCAAACACCCTTCCAGGACAAACCTCTGACAGCCCGCTGTACAGCCTTGGGAAGTGCCCGTCTCTCTCTCTCTGCCACTGCCTACTTGCAGCAGAGCGCGCCAGTCATAAGAGTCTGTAGCTGCATGAGTTGATGGCCAGTGGGCGCCCATACAGCTGGCAGCGAGATCAAGTCGTAGTGTATTCTCAGTGCCCTGGCAGCCCCCTCGACGGTAAC